ATGGGAAACGAGGGGGGAGATTGTGAAAAAAATAAACGAACAATTGTCTTTTTTATACTCGAAATGATTAGTTTAAAAATGGGTTTGAGTAAGTGAGGTTTTTTATTGAGGGATTTAGTTTGATTTATTATGTTTGTTGGGGAAATGGAATTGCGAATTGATACTTTTTCATTTGTTTTTAGATTTAAAAAGCGGTATAAAGTGGATCCGAAAAATGAAAAAGTGTATGGTCTTGATGAACTTTATCTATTAACAGGATAAGTACCTCATGTGTGACGCTCAGATTTAATGAATCTTGCTTTCTAGTCTGAAAATGACATTCTAAATTTTTCTTAATTTTTTGAGACCAATTTCGTGACCTAAAAATTTCAGTCGTTCCTGCAAAAAACTAGCTATGACTCTTGCATTTGCCTTACAAAGAATTATTTTAAATTTTTACTGAGTTTTCATAGGATATCTTTGAGAGAATTTTTAGTTTTTTGTTGTCACAAGAAACCGTCACGTATTTTACAATTAAAAAAATTTTTTTGGAGGAAATTATCCCGACTTTTTTCGCAAAAGATAGCACTGGTTGACAAGATTTTCTTTCCGCAAAAAATCTCATGAACCGCTTGGATTAGAACCTTGGAATTTGACGTGAAAACTTTCTGGGCCCTCTAATATCATATGCAAAAACCCATCTCATTTAATGCATGAACTTTTTGTACTGAAGGCCAAAACGATGTTGATAAAACCTTGTTTTCAATGTTGGCGATAGTCGAAAAAGAAATCTTTGTTTCTCATGAGCCAAATGGCCATAGGACGTGTTTGTGGTACGGTTGGAATCGCTAAGATCTCCTGTATCGAAAGGCATCACATGTTTTTAGGGGTTTTTATTTTTTCGGCCGAAAAAATTTACTTTTTAGTTGGGCATTCAATCTAAATTCATCACATATTTTATCAAAATTTGTCTGCTGCATTTTAAGCACCTCCCTTGTTAATTTAAGCCGAATTTCATTGAGATCCAAGACCTTTATTTCTATTGTAGATGTAAAATACGAGCGCAAAATATTTTTCATTTTTTCAAGCCCCCTTTTTCGACTATTTCCACAAAATTCACAGATCTATAACCCCTTTTTATATTATAAACAAACCCTGATTTCCCAAACCTCTTCCCTCCGGAACGCTGACTCACTGTGACCTCACCTGTTTTGGGCGCGAGCTAAAGCGCCGACATCAGAAAGAGGTGCAAATTACTTTTTTCGTTGTCTCCAACTCTAACGTTTCTCTCCGAGCTTGAACTAAATTCAGAATCCAACGGAAATTTTCTTTCGCCTCATTAGACAAAAAACACCGATTTCACCGAGTTTTATTCGGGATGCGCTTGCGTTTCAGAAGGTTTTCAGGGGGATAAATGAGATTTTGAAATGAGTTTGGAGGGCATGAAGAGATATTTTTTATGGTAAAATACGAGTGCTTCAAAGTTTATCAGTTTTAAAAAAAAGTTTGGATTTCTTGAAAGTTCTTTGCATACATTTTCGTACATATTTTCAAAGTAAAGTAGTATAATACCTCGAAATTTTAATTTTTAAGACAACTTGTCAAACCTATGTACATCGAATGCCTAGGGACAAAAAAAATAAATTCGTTGTAGGAAGTTCTCCCTGTACAGAGCTGCAAAATGCTTCTTACATTAGAATTTCTCTCATAGTGTTTGTTAAAGTCTGGTTCTATTGCTGTATGATCTAAAAAAGTTAAAAAAACTAGGCCATTACTCGGAGAATTACCTCTTGCCGTTTGTGGAAAATGAGTGAAAAAGGGAAAGTTTCCTTTCTGTCAGTGCGTTTATTAATAGAGCCCTTTTGACAATTTTTTTAACTCCACTTACAAAAACTATTTGATTATGTGTTGATTTTCTTTTTGGCTCAAAAAACCATGAAATTTTTTCAAATTCTTTTTTACTTGGCAAAATTACAAGTAAAGTTATTTAAATAACGATTTTTCGCTTTCATGAACATTCTTCTACGTGCACTGAGAGAGCATGCAAAATGCGGAGAGTGGTCGGAGAAAAAAAACGTTTTTTAGCCATATCTCTGTCATTTTCTCGAGGAGAGAATCGGTTTTTTTCGCAGTCCTGAGTAAAAATAAGCCTAAACATTTTATACATATTGTAGGTCGCAAAAAAGTGCAAATTTTTTTTCCTTTTGGACTAAAAATCTCGATGTTTCTGCAAAAAAACAAGCTCAGAATTTCCATGGGTCTTCAAAAAACTAGTCTAAATTGGTCCAGTTTCGTAAAAATCTGGGCGTTCCCCTGTAAACTCCTCTTTTTTGCTTCGATTTCAATTCAACAATCGCTAATTTGTAAGCCAATGTACTTTGAATTTACCTTCTCTCCAGACGCTCTTTCATTTTTCCCCTTCTCCTTTTCTTATCCCGTCTGAAAATCGCCTCCATTCATTGCGCAACTCTGCATTCGCCTAGTCCGCTCCTCTTAATTTGATTAGAAACCAGAATAAATATTGGTTGATCCAATAACAAAATAAAAATAACAATAGTTACTTTCCTCTTCCTCTGCCCGAGTTCTCTCCGCTGTTTTGCGAGCCCTGCTGATGCGCGTGATTCCCCCCCCCACTCTCCCACAATGTTTGCGCAAGAATTGTTGTTTTTTCGACGTCTCTGACAAATGAGCTGGGATTTTTGCTAATTTTCAGGCTCTGGGAAAGCGAAATCTCCAACAGTTTTTGTTGGGATCGCCTCGGACTAATTGCAAGCTTACGGTCGAGAAAAGCTGGGTAATGAGTGAGGAAAATGTTTACAAGTTTTGAGGGGAAAGTTGGGTGATTTTTTTGTCGATTTCTAGAAGAAACTGTCAAAGCGACGTTCTCTTATCCTTCAAATTTTGTATGGGCAATCTCTCTAGGGCACGTTTTGGTGATGACAATATTTAACTTGTTCCAGAGGAAGTTGAGGCTTTCAATATCTTTTCTCCGAAATACCATGGACGATGAGGAGAGTAGATCAGGGAAAAATATATTTCAAGTTGTATATAATTGCAATTTCGTGTGAAAAATCGGGTTATAGGAGTTCTTGTGACTTATTTTGTAAAATACGCTCAGCAAAGGTACTTGTACAGTCAAGCTATGTTCATCGAATTCAAAAAGTCCAAATTTATAATATTTGTTCTTTGTAGAAGGATTTCTTTGTACAGAGGTTTACTTTGGCCCAGAATTGAGTTCCACGGCTTTGGAAACCATTTTTGCAGATAGGGTTTGTTATATGGAAGCTTGTTGCATGGTGGTTCACAGAACACATATATTTTGATATGTAAGAGCAGAAAAAAAATTTTTTTTTTGTAATTTATACATATTTATATTTTAATATTGATATCTTTTTGTAAAATACGCATCATCGTGTTTGTTCTGTCTAATTTGAATCTTCAAATCAAAATTGGCGTATTTTAAAACTAAATGTAGTAATAAAAAATTTTAAGAGGCCTTTTTATGAAGACTATCCCAAATTTCAGCCTCCACACTTCCGAAACCCCTCTCTTTTCTTATCACTAGTCATGTTTTTTTTGCGTTACTATATTTTTTATTTTTCCGGGATCTTTCGCAATTTTGTTGTGAAATTTTTTCCATTTTTATTTTTATTCTTAGCTTATCAGTCATTTTTTATGGAACCTTTCCGTTCATGAGGTTTGATTGCTTGTTTTATTGCGTCGTTTTTATAGCCGAGAAAAATGTAGCTTTTTTATTCATTTTCAGCGACTTTTTCTTACATTTTCAAAATTTTATTTTTTGATTAAAATAATCAAAAAAACTTATCGTAAAATTTTTTTTCTACCGTATTTTACAAACAGGACTTTTTAAAGCTACTAAAAAGTTGACGAAACGTTGGAATAAATTTTTTTTAATTTTTTTTCAAGGTTTTTAGCTCGCGCTTTGCAAAAACAACCAAAATTTCGGGTAGATATTTGAGCATTTTCCTTTTATCTTTCGACAATTTAAAAATAAGTCAGATTATTCTCTAAAAAATTGATTTTTCATGAAAATATTCATCAACATATGGCCAAAACCCCATTTAAATAAAAATTTGGGAGATATTGAGATTTTTTTGATCCGATGATTTTAGAAACTTTATCACAAAAAAAATAGTTTTCCAATGCAAAAATAAGTAAAAAAAGTGGTTTAAAAAATGTTTTTTTTCTGGTGGTCTCTCTTCATTTTATCTAGTCTCTCTCTCGGCGCAAAATTTGTTTTTTTTTAATTTCTTGATAAAGCCAATGTTTGATTTTTTCAAATTTTGAGTCAGGCTTCTAGAAATAGTATTTGTCGTTCATGCAACCCAATTTTGATATTTACTTTTGTATTCAATTATAAATATACAGTGACAGATCTGATTCAGTTTTAAAAAATGTGCCATTTTGCATCAAGGGAGTATCAAAAATGTGGCAAAATACTTCCCTCTCTAAGCGAAAAAACTTCGTTTTGAAGGGTTCCCTCACAAAAAGAGCGGGCGAGCTTTTGAAATCGGAATTTTTTCACTTGGAGAGGGAGGTATTTTGCCACATTTTTGATGCTTCCCGGGTGCAAAATGGTACGTTTTTGCCACTGGATCGGGTCCGCAGTTGTATGTGTATTCCGTTCCACGTATTTGAAAAAAAAATTTATTGAGATTTCACAAAAAAATTTTTTTAATTTCAGGGAACTCCCCAGAAACCTCTCTCCCAAGCCCATCCCAAAACTCGACGTCATTACATTTTATTGCAACCTGTCGCCCGAAAGGAATGACTCAAATTTGATGAAGTAACGTGATCGCTGAAAAAGAAAAGAGCGAACCGAACATCTCGACGAAAATAAGAACGCTCCCAAAAAATGATTTTATTGCTCACGTCGAAGTGATAACGCCATTCGGACAGAATTGGAATTTCGACGTGGAAAATTTGATTAAAACTACACATCGAATTGATTTTTGCGATTTTTTGGAGGGAATTTGGAGGGTTATTATTTGAAAATAAAGATGTCAACGGCACAGCAACTTCAGGTGAGATTTTTTTGAATTAAAAATTTTTTTATTTTTTTTTATTTTATCAAAAACTTTCCTTTATTGAAGCTCGTATTTTACAATTTTACATATTTTTTTAAATAAAAAAATAATACAATAAAAAATACGTATTTTATAAAGTAAAGTATTTTTTATGTCTTATTTTTTTTTGGATTATTATAATTTTAGAAAATGAAAAAGCCATGCCTCTATTATATTTACATACTGCCTCTATTATATTTACATATTTTCCGAAAAGTAAAAATGAAGTGTTTGTTTAAATACGAAGTTTCTATTTCTTTTATCAATTTTTTTTCAGCGAGCCCTTGAAGAACGAGCCAAAGAAATCACCGAGCTACAAAACAAACTGCGGCAGTGTGAAAATGACAGGTAAAATACGGAAACTGAGGTTCATTTTTAAAGATTTTTTATATCAAAAATAAAAAAAATATTTTTTTGTTATTGAAAACATTGTTTTTTGCAAAAATATTTTTAATTATTAAAAATATATTTTTTCATTTTTTTAACGTAAAAAAATAGAATTTAAAAAATCAATGATTTTTTTTATTTTTTTTTTATTTTTCATTTTTATTTTTTATTTTCTTTTTTTTTTTATTTTTCATTTTTTATTTTTTTTTCTTTTCAATTTTCCTATTTTTTCAGAGTTCAATGGGCGAATCAGCGAAAAATGTTCGAGTCGCGACAACCCCCGGACATCCAGCAACTCATGGCTCAAAAACGCGAACTCCAGCAGCAACTCCAACGGGAAGAATCGGAAAAACAAGAACTGTTTATGCAAATTAATCAGCTCATCGGGGAGATCGCGGACAGCCGCTCGAAACCCGTGGTGCCCGACCTAAGCGACGAGAATGGCCGTTTGAAGGCGCAAGTGTCGCAACTCACCGGTGAAAATGAAAATCTGCAACGAGAAATCTCGACGACCAGGCAGAAATTGAGAGAGGAGCTGGAGAGCGAGAGGAATCAGCTGAATGTGATGCGGAAAAGCCACAACTTGGAGGTGGAACGGCTGAAAGAGGAGACCCAAAGGTACATGAAGGAGCTGGAGAATAGCAATGCTGCTATTCAGAGTCTGAAGTTGGCGAAATCTGTGAGTTAAATATTATAAATTTAAGGCACCTTATCAGCCTGGAATTTGAGTTTAAAATTTTTAAAAAAAAAGTCCTAGTAAATAAGGAAAATAGTGATTTTCAAAATTTTTATGGCTTTTTTGAGTCTTTTTTTGCTCCAAAAATAAATTTGTTTTGCTGGTCAGTCTGAAGCTGGAGATTTGGTTCGCGATAGCGGTGAGGCGAGAAATTTTGCTGCGACGACCCGCCGTTATTTTCCCGACAGACTGATAGGATACGGATTTTTAAAGGTTTGCAGAGACCATCGAGAGTTTTAGGCTTTACTTTGAAAATAAAATTTTTTTTTATATTTGTTTGACCTAAAAATTCAGCGAAAATAAAGAAAGATCTTTGAGGCCTCAGAACTCCATTTTACATTATAATGTACCTTCGTTTATCCTTTTACATATTTATTAGTCTGTCGGGAAAATAATAAACAAAATGTCGCTGTTCCGATCGCGTCGCTGAATTGAAAAGCAATTTGATTTTGTCTCGACAGGCGATGTGATTTTTGATGCGACAGAGGGCACATTATTTTCCCGACAGACTGATATAACGAATACTTTTTTTTGATTCTTAAAAATTCAAAAAAAAAATCAGAAATCTTAATTTTTACCACAATTTTTTTAGCTATCCAACGATTCCAACCTCCAAAACGAAGTCAGCCAGCTCAAATCTCAGGTCGAGTCGTTAACTCGAACCAACCAAGACCTTTCATCTTACAAAAAAGAGTTAGAACAGAACCTGGCCAAGTCAAAAGACCTCAATTCCCAACTGGAAAGTCGGATATTGGACCTGGAGTCACGGTATCGCGACTTATCAAGCCGAAATTCCTCCTTGTTCATCAAATTGGGCCTGTCGCCGCAAAGCGATGTGGACCTTTTGGAGCGAAAAATCGATGGATTAAGGGAGGAGAAGGAGAACGAAGTCAATAAAAGGTGAGAAAATATTTTTTCTCGTACAGGTTTTTTCGAGAAATATGGCAGAAAGTTTTTGCGAATATCTTTGTGCTTTTTTTAGTTATCCAAGAAATTTAAATTGATTTTAAAATTTGATGATAGGCGAGTTTAGGATATGCAAAAGATTTTTTTGTTGCGTCGGCGGAGAAACCATTTTTCGGCGGAGACATTTGACGTCTTTTTTGAAAATTGCATCTCGTTACAATCAAAAATCTTTTAGACACTAGAAGCTAACAATCCGAGACGTCCCTAAAGTCAATTTTTCGCAAAATTGACCGCTATAAAACGACACCTTTGTCTAGCAAATACATTTTTTAGTCCTTGTCGATTCGTTGTGCAGAGATTCAAAATAATTTTATTATTTTATCCGATCAAAAACTTTCAAGAGCTTTGTAACCCTAAGTTCATCCGTAACATCAAAATTATGCAATATCAGTTTGTCGGGAAAATAATGAGCACAATGTCGGTGCCCCGATCGGGTCGCAGAAGTGAAAAGAAATTTGATTTTGCCGCGACACAATTCATTTTCTCGGCGACGATGCGATTTTCCAAGCAACAGAGTGCTCATTATTTCCCCGACAGAGTGGTATTTTTTCGAGAGAAAACGGAAAATAAGGAGAGTTGACCAGAGAAAAAAAGTTGTTTTGCCTATTTCGTCGCGGAGTTTTGCTCAAAAAATATGATTTTTGTGCTAAACATTATTATCTTATATCTATTAGAGCTTGAAATTTTGGATTGGAAATTTGAAATAAAAAAAAAAAAAAAAAAAAAAAAATTTGAAAAAAATTCCGATTTTTTATTCCCTTTAGTCGGCCAAAAGATTGAAATCGTATTTTACCATCAATTTCACACCCAATTCTTTCCAGAAAGACCCTCGAAAACGAAGTCTCGGACCTCCGTAAATCCCTCAATTCTTCAAATTCCCATCAAACCGAGCTAACCCGACAAATCAACGATCTCAAAGCCGAAAACACCCGTCTTCAGGACTCGGAATCATTGGAAGATGAGCTCCACACTCTTGTCTCTTCATTACAAGCAGCAAAAGATGAGGCGGCCGCAAAGGATTCGGAGATAAACCAATGGAGGAGTAGGGCGATCAGTTTGGATGAGCAAATTGCTGAGCAAAAGGATGAAATCTCGAGGCTACGGTAGGTTGGACTAAAAGTAATTTAATCTGGCATCGTCATTTTGTACTCTGTTTTCAAATTTGTTGGTCAAAAATTGAAAAAATGAGGAAAAATTTTAGGGATACCTTTTGAGGCATTTTGAAAAAAAAATTATTTTTTTTGAGGTTTTCTGAGCGTAAAATTTTACAAGGTGGAAAATAAAACAATTATCGCACAGTGCGAAATATTTTTTTGAAAGTCGCACAATGCGAAGTGAAAAAAAAATTTGCACAGTGCAGATTTTAAGTCAAAAAAGCTTGCACAGTGCAAAATATTTTTTTTTGAGAATTGCACAGTTCAGAAACTAAATAAAATAATTTTTGCACTGTGCAAAATAATTTTTTTTGATTGCACAGTGCAAAGTGCCGACAATTTTTTCTGTACAGTGCAGATTTTAAGCCCAAAAAAGTTTGCACAGTGCGACAAAAGTTGCCACAAAATTCGACTTTTTTGTGCACAGTGCAAAAATTAACTCAATTTTTTTGCACAGTGCAGATTTCAAGCCCAAAAAAAAGTTGCACAGTGCAGGAAATGAAGTAATTTTTGTCTCGCACTGTGCGAAATATTTTTTTGAAGATTGCACAGTGGAAAGTACATACAAAATTTTTGCGCAATGCAGATTTTAAGCCCAAAAGAAGTTGCAAGATGGGACAAAATTTGCCTCAAATTTTCTTTTTTTGCTGCACTTTGCTAAAAAATAACAAAAAATTTTTTTGCACAGTGCTGATTTTAAGCCAAAAAAGTTTCACAGTGCAGGAAATAAAATAATTTTCGTTTCGCACAGGGCGAAATATTTTTTTAAAGATTGCACAGTGGAAAGTACATACAAAATTTTTGCACAGTGCACATCAACCACAAACAGAATGCCAAGATTTTTGGCATTCGGTTTTTTAAGGGTCTCTAATGTTTTAGCTTACTGTGCAGTGGGTAATGAACAAAATAACATGAACCTGCGATTAAAACATTGCCAAGGACCCATATTTTTTAAATTAATAGATTTTGGCGTTCTTCGGCCACCAGGTTAGCGACAAACGGCCGGAGAAAATCGAATTTTTGCAAACTTTGCGGCCGAATAACTTGTCTAAAACGATTGAAACACGGAAAGTGATTGCAACGATCTTCAGGATATTGTATTCTAAGGTAGTATGCGAAGTTTGAAGCAAATCGGACAGATAATAAAAAAGTAGATGCGATTTTAAGCTTTTTTACCTTATGGATTATATTACTTTAGGCAACTTTTAATGTCCGACAGCGTTAAATAGTCTAATTAATTAACTATATTATCTCATAACATCCTGTTAAGGGAGATTAACTGCAAAAATTTTAACTCTTAGATCGAAAAAAAGTTTTACCTTATAATAGCATACCTGATCTTATACCAAAAATAATGAAAGTTTTTGACTGAAGTCAAAGTTTTAAAACTATCTATGTAAATTGAGATGGCTTTCTAAGGCTATACTGATCTTTTGGAGTTGGTTTCAACTTCGCTGCGCCAATTTCAAAAATGGCCAATATCACCTAAAACAAGGTTCTTAGAACAGCTTCTAAACTGGTGCGGATGCCACTAATTATGCTCTTATTGTCTTTTTAGATCATAGTGGACCTAGCTGAGTCAAAATTTACCGATTTTTAAAATATTATTTTAGTCACCTAAATATCACTTTTTTTGGAATTTTGAGTGAGTAAGCTAGTATATGACACAGGGTTGCTTATTGTTCTCTAAAAATACTCTAATTATGCTCAAAGAAAAAAGAATTTAGGCAATTGCTTCGTTACGAAACGATTTAGTAGCAAAAGATGTCTAAAATAAGGTTTTCAAATCTACTACTACTACTATTTTTTGGTCTGTCCGACTCGTTTCCAATTTTTAATTTGAGCTACCCTTGGGCACCCTAACAAAGTTATGCAAACAGTTTTCCCGATTTGAAACTTTTTTTTTGTGGTTGATGTGCAGTGCAGATTTCAAGCCCAAAAAAAAGTTGCACAGTGCGACAAAAGTTGCCACAAAATTCCACTTTTTTTCTGCACAGTGCAAAAATTAACTCAAATTTTTTTGCACAGTGCAGATTTTAAATCAAAAAAAAAGCTTGCACAGTGCAGGAAATAAATTTTCGTTTTTCGTTTCGCACAGTGCGAAATATTTTTTTTTGAAGATTGCACAATGCAAAGTAACAACAAAATTTCTGCACAGTGCAGATTTCAAGCCCAAAAAAAAGTTGCACAGTGCGACAAAAGTTGCCACAAAATTCCACTTTTTTTCTGCAAAGTGCAAAAATTAACTAAATTTTTTTTTGCACAGTGCGGATTTTAAATCCAAAAAAAGTTGCACAGTGCGACAAAAGTTGCCACAAAATTTCACTTTTTTTCTGCACAGTGCAAAAATTAACACAAAATTTTTTGCACAGTGCGGATTTTAAATCAAAAAAAGTTTGCACAGTGCAGGAAATATAAATTTTCGTTTTTCGTTTCGCACAGTGCAAAATGGCAACAAAATTTTTGCACAGTGCGGATTTTAAGCCAAAAAAAAGTTGCACTGTGCGACAAAAGGCGCCACAAAATTTCATTTTTTTGCTGCGCAGTGCAATGAATAACTCAAAATTTTGTCGCACAGTGCAGATTTTAAAAAATTCCAATTTCTCCATGACCAAATAATATTTTCAAATTTACTTTATTGTCCGGATAATTTAACTTATTTGCAAGTGAATTTAATCCAAGAATGATGGAAAGGAATAGGAAAAGAGAAGAAATACACATGTGACAAAACCCGTTAACATGTCTTAAAGATGTATTGCCATAAAATTAATCTTAAAGTGCTATTTACAATGGTTGAGGTAATCGGAGAGTTTCTGTACAACTGAAAGACGAATAAGTTAGGGGAAAAAAGAAAAAATAAAAAAATAATTACAATTTTTGATGGAATTCCGAAAAAATTTTTGTCGGATTCGGCTGAAACCTTTTTGGAAATTTAGAATAAAGTTTATGAGGGATACTGAGGGTTTCTGCGTCTATTTTGAAAAAAAAAATTGAGATTTTTTTGATTGAAAAAAAAATTTTTTTTTGAATTTTCAATTTGAAAATTTTAAAAAATGAGGTTAAAAATTTTTCGGTGAAAAAATCTATTTTTTCCGAGGGAAAATTCGCAAAAAATTAGGCAAAAAAATCAAAAAAAATATTATTATTTTTTAATTTTTCGACTTTCGACCCAAAAATCTCGCTTTTTTCTGCAAAGCGCGGACTAAAAATCTCAAATTTTCCTTCCAAAAATCCACTCCAATTTCCAGCCAAGTTTCATGCAAATCGGAGCACTTCCATTTTTAGGTAATAAATTAAAATTTTTCGAAAATTTTCAAAACTGAGTCCCCAACAGCGACGTGAACGGGCTCAACGGGAACAGCGAGGGCGCGGGGTCGGGGTTCAAGAGTCTGGCCAGCAGCTCCTGTGGGCTCTTTTTCTCGTAGATTTGGCCCTGACTCTGCAGCTGACTCAACTGCTGCAGCAGCAACAGCTGCAACACCGCATTGTTGTCGTCGGGCGGGCAGGGCGGCGTGTTGGGGGCGGACTGCACCGATTTGGGGGAGGTTCGCGAGTCGGGCTGGCCCTTGCACGCCGACTGCACATGCGACTTGATATGGCCGCCCTCGTTGCTCATGATCCGCGAGCAGTTCTTGCATTGGATGACGGCCGTCTCGACGGCCGCCTCGTCCGGCTCCTCGGCCGAATTCTTGATCCACACGTCGTAGAATTGCTTGCGGTACTCGCTGGTCCCGGTGTAGGAGCGAAGGACGTATCTGAAAATTAAAAAAATAATATTTTCGTCGCATCTTCACTTCGTATTTTACGATTTTTTTCGAAAATTTTCAAAATTTCAAAAATTTTCAAATTGAAAAAAAATAAAAAAATTTGGAATTTTTTCTATAAAAAATGTAATTTTTGAGAAAGATTCAATTTTTTTGTATCCCCGTACTTTAAAAAACATTTTTTTTCGCAATTTAAAAAATTTTTTTTTTCAAAATCACCAAAAATTTCCATTTTTTCACTTTTTTAGTGAAAAAATAGGGATTTTTTGATTTTTTTCAAGTCAAAAATACATTTTATTGTGCTCTCTATGCTTTACAATAGGCATTTCAAAATTTTTTTATCCAAAATCAATCAAAAACTTCTATTTTTTGGCTCTTTTTAGCTAAAAATCCCTCAAATTTTGCTTATTTTTAATTTTCAAACCATCCCGCCCAATAATGTCGTATTTTACCCACCTGTCCCTCGAGATTTTCTCCATGTCCTTGGTTCGCAGCATGTTCTGTCGCATTTTCCGTCTGGTGATCGTGCTCATGCGGGGTCTCTTGGTTTCCCTCTCCAAGTTCTCGCTGATCTTCCTCTTCTGTCCCTGCTCCACCTCCACATTGTTATTCAAGCTGTTCTGCGCCAAGGCGCTGTTGACGAGCATCAGGAGGGCCTGCTCCTTGAAGAAGTTGGTCATGTCAAAGTTTTGGTCCGCATTCGGATCCAGATTCTCGCATTTGGCCTCAGGACTCGAGCGAATCATCGCCGGAAGCGGCGAAATATTCGCCGTGGAGTGGGCCGGCGGCTCCGGCTTCTGCTGATTCTCCGACGGCTTCAGCGCGTCCTTCGCCCGACCCACCTTGGGCTGGCGGTCTTTGCGGGCCGCACAAGTGTGGATGACATGATTCCTGGAAGCGGGTGGGGTTGTAATCTCGCGGAACTAGACGCCCGGAATTATTTATGAGTCGGGGCACAAAGGAATACCGGTTTCATGCGCCGCCGCACTATGGTAATAACGTTGTGCGGGGAAAACAATATTTCCCAGAGTGCATGCCGAAATGGGACATTAAGTTTGGGGGTGAAATTAACTATATGGCCTGATTTTTGGCCGAAAATACCGAGATTTTGAAAATTTTTTAAAATTTTTTAAAATTTTTTCAAAAAATTTTTTTTTGAAAAAATTGGTGAAATTAGCTTAGAATTGGGTAAAAATAAAATCTAGAGGTCCGTAGGGCCACTCAGAAAAAGTTTTATGCAAAATTTCATAAAAAAAATTTTTTTTTGAATTTTCAAAAAATTCTTTTTTTGGAAAATTTTTTTCAATTTTTATGAAATTTAGCAAAAATTAAACTTAAGAATTTCATAGAAAATTTTTTTTTCGGTTACTGTAACTTTAAAAATTTCAAAAATCGCAAAAATTCTCTTAAAAAACCGGTCAAAAAATCCCAAAAGCCCCTTTAAAAATACTTAAAAAATCTTCGTCAACTCACTTGATATGGCCTCCTTCATTCCTCATCAACATGTTGCACTTTTTGCACTGAATAACGGCCGTTTGAATAGCCGCCTCATCGCCGCAATTCGTCGCCGGTTTCACCCACACGTCGTAGAACTCGCGACGATATTCGCTGGTGCCGGTGTAGGATTTGAGGAGCCGGCGATCCATCGGGATTTCGGTGACTTCTTTGGTTTTCAACATTCCGGAGGAACGGCGGGCCGACGGTGCAGGCGCCGGCTTTTTCTTCGGTTTTTGGTCCGATTCTGACATTCTTTTCTGCAAAAAATTTGAATATAAATGGGCCTCGTGAGTGGGAGAATTAATGAGAGCAAAAAAATCGCGAAAAAATTTGGTCCAATACGGCGAAAATTTGAGTTTTTATAATTCCACTGCACAGTGCGGAAAATAAAACAATTTTTCGCACTGTGCAAAGAATTTTGAGAAAATGCGCAGTGCAAAAAATGAAAACTTGTTTTCATTTTTCACTGCACAGTGCAAAACCTCAAAGCCCGACCGCACCGTGCGGAGGCCCCCACCCAGACTGCACGGTGCGGCGGACCCGGACCCAAGACGCGTCTCTCTTCAAGTCCAGCGCACCGTGCAAAATCCCGAAGACCGCCAACTTCCGCACCACCGCCGAAATGAGTGCGCGTTGTGAGGCAAAAATGTGTGTGGGGTGGTGGGGGGAAAAGGGGCGAGGAGACGGACGGGCGCGCGGGCGGGCGGGTTCGACCCCGTTTCGTGCCTCTTGTTGCGACACAACGCCCCCAAATCGGGCTGTCGAAGTGTGGGGGGAAGAAGGGAGGATTGTCGCCGCGGGTTTCTCGCATTTTTCGCGGTGTCTTCCGAGACGGGCGCGACACCGATTTCGGATCGCCCGCCGCGACACTGCACGGTGCGGTCTCGGGTCGCGATGCACGGTGCGCGGAGAGAATTTTGCGACATGCACAGTGCGCAGAAATGGAGAGATTTGAGATTTGCACAGTGCAAGGAAAAATTTTTTATTGCACTGTGCGAAAAAAATAAAAGATGCACAGTGCAGTTCACCGACAAATTCGCACAGTGCGATTCAATTCCGGTTTGCACAGTGCGACAAAGCGAATGCCCGCCATGAAAAATCTTGTTTTGAGGCGGGTTTCACGGCGCGCCGCCGATCACCCACGGCGACGCGTGCGACCTCCATGAAAAAATCATGAAAACGGAGACTGGTCATTCTGGCAAAAATCCGGCGCGCAAATTTTCTGAAATTTGCATCCAACAGGCGCCCGAAAGGAACCGGAAATTTCTCGCCGCACAGTGCGAAATTAGTGGCTCCGAAGGAGAGAGGAAATGCACAGTGCAATAACAAGAAAAGCGATTTTATTCTGGGAGAAAAATGCACAGTGCAAGCGAAGTTTTAAAATTCGAAATTTTTCGAAAATTCAGGGAAAAAATCAAAAAATTTTTTTGTCAAAATATCGTTCTGAGACACAAATTTTTTTTTTTTCAATTTGAAAATCGTCAAAAATTTTTGCACAGTGCGTTTTCCGCAATCCAAAAAACTCCGGCCGCACCGTGCAAAGAGTCAAAAATTAGGGAGGTTGAAGCGCACGGTGCGATGGGCGGAAAACCCGACTGCACGGTGCGATCCGCTTCACCCCGAACTGCACTCTTCGCCTCATTGTGGAAAAACCGGAAAACAGCCCCCGATGAAAGCGGGGCTGAAATTGGGGTGGGGAACGCGCCCGCACCGTGCAGTTCGCCCTCATCGCGAAAATGGACTTGCAAAACCGCCCCGAAAGCGGAGTGGACAGAGGCAAGAGAAACGGGCGAGGCGCGCGACACGAAAATTGGCGGAGAGAAAAACAAGGGGGGATCGCGCGCGACACACAGCGCGCGCCCCCCGCAGGAGCAAAGGCTGGATGTGAGGGGGCAAAAGCAAAAGCAGCTGGACCAAAAGCCGGGCGCGTGGCGACAACCGGAGGTCGGCGACAAACAAGCGGCGAGGAGAGGGAACGCACCGTGCAACCGGTCAGCGACTCCCCCTCATCAGCCCGATTTGCATGGAAATTGATTGTTGACGGGCCCGCGACAAAAACAAATGATGAGCGGGGTCAATTGGCGACAGCGCTGATCGCACCGTGCGCCTGCTCGCCCCCCAAAACGGAGTTCGTTTTTTTGTTTGGGCCGGAAATCGAGGAATGCACGGTGCGGCGAGTCCGGAAAGGGGGATGCACGGTGCGGGCGAGGAAGGAAGTTGATTGCACGGTGCACAGGAAAGGGCTTTGGATTTGAAGGTCGCAGAATCTAATTGCACGGTGCGAAAAATTGGTTAATCAAATTTAGAAAATTTTAACGCAGAATTAAATTTTTCATTAAAAAACTATCGCAAAAATCAAAAAAAAAAAATTTTTTTTTTTTATTTTTCCAACTGCACTGTGCAAAAATCAGCGAAAATCTTCTGCACTGTGCAAAAATTTAAAAAATATTTTTTTTGCACTGTGCCGAAACCTCCGCGAACCAGTTCCGCACGGTGCGGAGAAGTCGAAAAACCAGCTGATGCGGCTCCAGAAAATCCGAAAATCCAGCGACAATGGGAGGCGCGGAAGGGTCAGCGACCAGTTGAAAGCGGGCCCAAACTGTGCGGAGGGCGAGTTCCGCCTTTGTCGCCTCGCCCGCGCCCCGCCGCCCCACCCAAAAAAATCTTGTCGCTCGAGTCATGCGGAACGGCTGAGCGACGACGAGGCGAAGAAGCCGAAGAAAGGGAGAGAGGGGCGACGAGTGGACAAAGAGCCAGTTTTGATCCCGTCGCCCCTCTCTCTCTCTCTCTCTCGCGGTTGGAGGCGCGACAACCCCCCGCCGGCGACACGATCTCGCAAGAACCAAAGTGCAAGCGCGCCGAGAGAGCGCGACGAATCGAGAGGCGGGCGGAGGGGAATTGGGCGCGCAAAAAACAGACGGGTCGCGGGTTCTTCGGTCAAACGCGTTTCTCCCGGAGAGCTGGTTGTGGATTTTCGCGAAAAACGAGAGGGCGAGAAGAGTCACCAAAAGTGCAAAGGATGAAGAATGAGTGGGGGCAAGCAAGCGGCGTCGCGCAACTTGACGCCGAAAAAGGGATCGAGTGCCCGCGACAGGTTCGGGAAAACACAAAAACCAATGAAAGGAATGCCGCACGGTGCGGTTGGAGATTGGGGTTTGCACTGTGCGGGGGAATGTTGAAAGGAATTTCAGCGACGCAAAAGAAATCAAGCTGATTTTTTTGCACCGTGCGAGAAGAATTGAATTTATTTTTTGCACCGTGCACGAAATCGCAGTTTGCACGCAATCGCACTGTGCAAAAATTTGAAAAGTGGATTGCACAGTGCAAACCTCAAAAAATGCACGGTGCAGGCCGAAATCTGCAAGGTGCAGCCAACATTTTTTTTTGTTTTTGCACTGTGCGATCGACTTTTCAAATTATCGCACCGTGCAATCCACTTTTCAAGTTTTCGCACGGTGCAAAAACTTGAAAAATTGGTGGCACAGTGCAAACTTCAAAAAAATGCACTGTACAGAGCGAAATCTGCACTGTGCAGCCAACGTTTTTTTATTTTGCTCTGTGCACTCCACTTTTCAAGTTTTCGCACTGTGCAAACCAAAATCTGCACGGTGCAGCCGACATTTTTTTGTTTTTGCACTGTGCAATCCACGTTTTTGAATTGTTCGCACTGTGCAATCCACTTTTCAACTTTTCGCACTGTGCAAAAATTTGAAAAGTGGATTGCACTGTGCAAACCAAAATCTGCACGGTGCAGCCGACATTTTTTTGTTTTCGCACAGTGCAATCTACATTTTTGAATTTTTTGCACTGTGCAATCCACTTTTTAAGTTTTCGCACTGTGCAAAAACTTGAAAAGTGGATTGCACTGTGCAAACGTCAAAAAATGCGCTGTGCAGACCAAGGTGCGGCCGGGATTTTTTTCGCACAGTGCAATCCACATTTCAAGTTTTCGCACTGTGCACTTCGCATTTCCCAGCGCACGGTGCGTAAATCCGGTCAAATCATCGAATTTTGAGGGGGAAATTCACTCAAAGACCTGAGGGCATTTGGCGGAGCGCGTCCCGCCGAGCGCCGTCCGTGTTCCGGTGGGCCGGAAGGCGGCCTCTCGCTTTGTTTGCGGGCCCTTAAATGGGGCCGTGGAGTTCATCGCCGTGGGACCCGCGGCCACTTTATGAGCGGATCGGGCGCCGGCCGGCCGGCCGGGCGCCGAATTTGGGCTGGGAATGTGGAGTGGGTGAAATTCTCGACTTTCCGCGTGTGCTTAGCCCCCAGATCGGGTGACATTTGGTGGCGCACCGACGGAAAATGTGGGATGGCCAAGTGGTCGGATGTAAACAGCCGACCGTAGCCCGGCCTCCCGGAAACGGAATACCGACACTGTAAACGGGGGGTTTGGAGGGCGGTTTGAAGTCGCTGGACACAGAAAAAAGTCGCCGAAAACGGGAAAAATGGAAGAAATCGGGGAAAATGACAGAAAATCGTGGAAAAATCAATGATATTCTGATTTTTTCGGGTTTATATCGTTATATAATTAATTTTAATGCTATTTCCTTTCGTATTTTAGCCTTAAAATTTTTTCAAATGACAAATTTTTATATTTCAAGTCAAAAAAATTTTCAAAAATGACTAAAATAATATCGAAAATGGCCTTCAAAGACCTTCAAATGACTGCTAAATACATGAAAATACCATATAACCCTCTAAAAATTATAATACGACTCTCAAATAATTCAAAATTCCAAAAAACCGCAACTTTTCCCCAAAAAATCCCCCTTTATCCCACCCTCGCATTCTCCCCTGCCCCAATTGTCGGCGTTAATTAGGCCGCACAGGTCCGTCCGGAAAGTCCTTGAAAGCCGAATTGGGGCCTTGAAGACTGATGAATTTTTAAGACCCGCTCGGCCCGCGTGTTTTGAACTCGCCGCTCCTTTTCCCCTCGCCCTGCCTAATTTCACCCTCCAACGATCAGAAAAGAGGCGGGAAAACCCGAAATCTTTATGCAAATAGAAGACGGCGGAGGTTTATGAGGGCTTTATTGGAGGGAAACACCCGTTCCCGGCGACGGGAAAATTTGAAAAAATGGCAGAAATAATAAAATTTTTGGCGATTTATTACAAAAAATGAGCAAAAATAAAACTAAAGAAAATATTTAAAATAGCAAAATCACAAAACTCAATTTAAAAAAATCAAAAAAAAAATATTTTTTCCCCAAAAAATGCCAAAATTTTTGGTCAAAATCATCAAAAATTTAGCTAAAAATAGGCCTCTGAAAGCTCCTCAAGGTCCTCAAGTTTCGAGTCATACCGTGAGAAGTCAAAATAAGCGGCCGAAAAACAGGTTCTTCAAGCATTTTGGTCAAAAATCACCAATTTCTTGTCTAAAACAAGTCTTTTCTGTTGATTTTTCATTTCTGGGATTCAACATTTATTCCAATTATTCCCAATGGCCCAGGTAAAAAATTCTAAGCTCATCAGAAGGCTTAAAAATGGCCTAAACATCCATTGACTACTTCTTTTCCATCAATTTCCCATAAATCATCATAATTTTTGTCTAAAAGAAAGTTTTTTATGTGGTTTTCTTACTTCTCAACATTTTTCACCATATTCCATGTAATAGTAAAAAAATTCTAAGGTCATCAGAAATTTTAAAAATGCCCTAAACATCCATTTTCTGCTCGTTTTCCATCCGTTTCCCCTAAATCATCATAATTTTTGTCTAAAACACGGTTTTTATGTTCTTTTTTTACTGCTCAATATTTTCACGATATTCAAAGTGCCAGTAAAAAATTTCTGAGCTCATCAAAAGTCTTAAAAATGGCTTAAACATCCATTGACTACTACTTTTCCATCAATTTCCCCTAAATCATCATAATTTCCCTCCAAAAATGAAGTCTTTTCCACCGTATCCCCGCATCCCAGTGGCTTGAACTCTGCCTTAATTAGTGGCTGATTAATCTCTTGACCTCCATTTCGTAACCACTTGTCCGCACCTCTTTGCGCGAGCAAATATTTTGGAAAGTTTTCACTCCGTTCCTTCTTCCTTCCTTCGCCCCTCGTTTCTCCCCAAAAAATTCTGTTCTTCTTCTTCTCGCCGGTGTTCCGCCTCGAGGGGTGGGGCGGGCGGGCGGCTTCGCACGGTGCGGGCGGGTGCTGGCGGAAGTTGGTAGTGCCGGGCGTCGGCGCGTGCGCCTGCGGGCAGATCGCCGCGCCCCCCTCGCCCGTCCCGCTCTCCATGGAGAGGAAGAGTTGTGTCGCGGGCGGCGGTTCTCCTCGCTTCACTCTCCCATTCAGGCGCTTCCGAAAAAAGAGCGCCCCGAAGACACGGGACGCGAGGACAGGAGGCCCCACCCCGATCGCTGCACCGCATCTTCACACTTCCATGACGACGAATGGCACAATGCCCGCCGGCGGTACCGGACATGCACTTTGCGTTGCGAAAATAAAATCTTCCCCGCCGCCCGCGAACAAAGGGCATCAGGTGGAAGAGCGCGAACACAATCGAGTTTTAGAAGCATGGCGATTAATAAGCACACGTTTGACATCATTTTTGTTGTAGAATTTGGGGAGATTTAATGGAAAATTTAAATTTAATCATCAAAAAATGAAAAAAATCGGCAAAAAATTTGAAAAAAATTTAGTTTGACAGGTCAAACAAGCACGATCATCCTGAAATTTTGCATGAACGTTCGATAGTATTTATAAATTATTCACTGAAAATTTTAGCTCATGCTTTCCAAAGACCACCGAGATATTTTAAAAATTCCAATTTGAAAAATCTTAAAATTACTTTGAAATTTTTCAAAAACTATATTTTCTGATGACCCAAAAACGTCTACAAATAACATGCTGAATCTTTAAACTACCCACTCACAACAGAATTTTGTTTATACCATCTCCTCTTACCGCTATTCCATCAAATTTTATATTATACCGCCCGAAACGCCTCGCAATTCCATTATTTTTCGGTCACACCCGGCAAAATCCTCCTCCAGATGCCTTGTTTACCCGCCGTCTACCTAGCCCCGTCCCGCGGCGCACCCGGGGCCCCACAAAATTGCGGCTAACGAGCGGTCCGGGGCAATTCGATTTGCGCACGGTGCACCCAAATTCGGCGGCTCATTGTTGGGGAGGGCGCAAAATTAGAGAAGTGGGCGCGCGCTGCATAATGGGATCCGATCAGCGGCGCTGCGAATACGCGATTTACGATGACAGGAGGAATATATTAGGCATTTGAGAGGCAAAAAATTTGGGAAATTTTGATGCAAATTTTTAGGTCGTCCAGAAAGTTGGTTCGTTTCTTTATTATAGTAGGGAAAAGTAGTAAAAAATTGTGGGAAAATACTGTTTTACGTAGCGATAAATTTTATTTGAAGTCTCTAAAGAACTTATAGAGCATTAACAATGTTTATTTGAGGTAAAAAATGCAAAATTTTGATATGAATTTTACCATGTGTAATATAGTCGACATCAAACTTGAGCTGAAAAATTTATTAAACCCCAATGAATTACAGTATTCGTATGTTAAAATCATATTAAAAATAGTTTTTTTTACTTTACAATGTATTTTTGCCAAATTTTGCCAAATATAATACATTACACAAGTAAATATACAAAAATGATGACTAAACCGTTTCAGACAGCTGATTGAATCGTCGGATCGTGAGCTCCAAAATCTCCGTGCTAATGCTGTGGATTCCGAAATCATCAAAGGGCTTGAAGATCGCTTGAAAAATGCGAAAACCGACGCTGAAAATGAGCGACAAAAGCTGGCCGAACTCCGAAGTGCCAAACAATCGTTGGAAGACCGACTTCAACGCGCGGAGAATGAGCTGAAAGGGTCGGCAGATAAATCATCACGTCTTGAGGCAAATTTGGCCAAAATTTCGAGAGATCTGGAAGCCGAAAAGGCTGCGAAAATGGAATTGGAAAAACTTTTTGCCCAAAAAAATGATGATTTAGAAGAGGCGTTGGAAAGAGTCGCTGAATTGACCGATGAATTGCGGCTCCTAGAAGAGGATAATAGCTCAAGTTCCAGCGCGATTAACCAGATTGCCAGCACGTTGCAGGTGGCTCCAGAATCCTCAAAAATCCTGGAGGAATTGTCAAAAAGAGCGACTCGGCTGCGAACCTTGGAATCCCAAGTTTCTGACGGTGATAATTCGAGGAGAAAGTTAGTGGAAGAACTGCAAAATCAAATTGAAAACTTGGAAAAAGAAAGGAATGCGAATTTGCGAGAGCTCAAAGAAGCTACAGCACGATGCAACGAGCATGTGGAGAAAGTTGAAAGTTTGGAAAAGGGGAACAAAGAAGAGTTGGTGCTGCTGAAAAATGAGGTTAACAGGTGAGGAAAGGGCTTTATTTTTTTGTACGATCTATGTACAGTGACGGACATGATCCAATGGAAAAAACTAAAATTTTGCATCCAGGATGTATCAAAAATGTGGCAAAATCCCTCCCTCTCCAACTAAAAAAACTTCGTTTTTGAAAGGTTCTCTCACAAAAAGAGCGGGCGGGCTTTTGAAATCAGAGTTTTTACACTTGGAGAGGGAGGTATTTTGCTACATTTTTGATGCTTCCCGGATGCAAAATGGTGCGTTTTTTGCCACTAGATCAGGTCCGCCACTGTAAAGGTAATAGCATGACTTCAAAAGGAAGAAAATCAGGATTTTTTTAAGGTTTATCAGTCTGTCGGGAAAATAATGAGCATTCTGTCGTATCGACAAGAAAAAATGTGTCGGGGCGAAATCAAACTGCTTTGAACTTCAGCGACGCGATTGGGGCAGCGACTTTGTGCTCACTATTTTCCCGACAGACTGATATTTATACAGGGTGGTTCAGCCGAAGCTTCCAACCTTATTTCAAGTATTTCTCCGCCAATAATGCACCAATTGCTATGAAATTTTTATCAAATGGAAGCTGAGGTACCCCATTTTTTGCCTACCAAATACGGCGTGCCTGTGTTCATGGAGGCCTCCTATGTCAAAAAAATATTTCAGAAAATTGAAGAAAAACAAGGAATCTCGGATCATTAATTTTTTGCAAAGTGCCACAGAATTATCGAGATAGAAAAATGACTTTTCTCTTCGAAAAAACATTTTTCTTGAAAAAAACCTTCTCCGGGAAAGTTTTCTTTCGTGACTCGATAATTCAGCGACATTTCGTCAAAAATGAATAGTCCGAGATTCCTGGTTTTTTTCACTTTTTCTTTGACGTGCCCCCGTACCGACCTTTGACATTTTCAAAAAAAAATTTGAGCCCGAAATCTGTGAAGTTTCGGCTGAAACTCTGTACTTTTTTTTGTTGAACCTTCTCAAAAAGAAACATTCAAAATCTCTTCAAATTTTGTCCACATACTCTTAGCGCAAATCCGAAACTTTCATCTTTAAAAATTCCCGTTTGAATTGCATTATCATCACCACAACACTTTCCATTCTTCAGGTTAAAATCGCGCGAACTGGACCTGGAACAAGACCTGGACCGGTTCAAGCGCTCCGAGCAAGCGTTAAGTGAGCGTTTGCGCGCCGCCGAACAAGAGCTCTCGCGCTCGAGCACGGTGGATGGGGCGGCCATGGAGAAGATCAGCATGTTGGAGGCGGATCTCGAGGAAATGGGAAAACAAAATTCGATTCTGCGAGTAGTATATAAGGGCCCTATGCCCCCTTTTTGCCCCCCTCCTCTGGAGGAGGGCAAAGACAGGCTACTCTAACAAAATAACAATTGATACTGTAAGCGTACTGTATTAAGGTATATTGTAAATTCAAAGAACTGTATTTTTGTACAAAAGGACCTTACGCACCCTTTTGACCCGTCCTCTTGAGGGGAGGATAAAAAGAGGGTTACTGTAACAAAATAACAATTGTTATTGTAAAATTACTGTTCGAAAGGACTGTGTTACAGTATTAAGGTATATTGTAATCAAAACTCAAAAAAATTAATCAATCACGAAGGCAAATGAGGTCACAATGAAAGTTTAACAAATAAATTAGGACAGACAAATCACTGAACTAAATTTCATTCAGTCTCAGCCAGAGGTCGATATGGCAGGCAATAGAGATTACGCAAAATTTTTACTTCAAAAAACGGCGTTGCATACTGCTGCAACACCAAATCGATTCCGATCTTGCGTCATTTGTCGCTATCATCACTGTTACTAATTAAAAATTAAAATTTTTATTAAGCAAGTCAGAATTGTATCGATTTCTTAATATAAGAAAAATTTCGCTGTTAATACACCCGTTTTGGCAAGAAGCAGATACTATTTTAGGACAGTCACAGAGCGCAAATTTTAGAATTTTAGGCTAGACATGTGGATTTTTGAGGATAAAATTGGCACACGCCCGAATCACACAATGGGTTATAAATGGAAAAAATTAAGATATCATATAATTAAATATTGCAAATTTTAATGGGCGGAGTCAAGTTAGTGTAAATCTTTCCATTTAACAACTGTTAACTGCAACAACAGTTGTCCTAAGGGATACCAAAGAATGTGTCATAAAGTCCACGTTAAAATCATTCCGAGCTCACGTGAATAAAATGATTGCCGGAGGCAGGCATGTGTTAGATTTCACAACAAGAAACCGAGACAGCATTAGACAGTTGAGGCACAAAAACTATTATACTATTGCTTTTGTTGAATAGTTGTTATAATAGGAGCATTTTTCTTATAAGGAATTTGCAAAAATATGTGAAGAAACCTTTGGATAATGAAATTGCACAAAAGCTCACGCTTGTCCAAAGAGAGATAAAGATTTTTCCGAAAATTTGCATAATTTATGCAAAAAAACCACAAACTATTCCGCGCATTGAGCGAAAGTGTTATCTACATGATCTTTTGAATTTTCGACTTTTTATTTTGATTAAGTTTACAAATTATTCAAATTTGTTTTTAATTATTCAATTTTTTAAATATGCAAATTTTAGCGCAAAGGAATCGTTTTTTAATATCTTTGATGAAGTTTGGATCACTCAGTAGTCGTCATGATCTTCGTCTAGACTCATCTCTTGTAGCTTACAACAGGGACATCTGAGGGACAGCACCTTGATGGACGAGGTAGCCAGCAGTGAAAGATAATGAAGACCATCCATTTTTCCGCGGATAATGAACCCTGAAAGAACGATTCTGTTTCCGATTTCAACCTCTTCTAACAGGGAGCGCTCCGAGTCATGAGCCACAATCATGTAATAATCATTTTCAGCTAGGGCCAACGCAAAACTTGGTTTTTCGTCGCTATCTGAATAATGACAAAATTCAATTGAGACGACTAGAGGAAGCGACATTTGAAGACAGAAAAAAACTTGCAATAGAATTGGGAGGAGCAATTTTGCAACATCCCAAATTCCGCCTGCGCAGCAACTGTTTCCTGCCAACAGTCTGTCACAATTGTTTGTCAAAATTATATGTCACAACCACAGATTAATTAGACTTAGGAAGGTTCTAGAAAAGTTTTTTAAGCTCTTAGCTATCACCTACACTACAAATATTATTACTTTTTGAAAAAATCTATGTCATAATGACAATTGTCGATGCCTTTACCATTTAACAATTCACCATATAGCAACTGTTTAACAACTGCTAGAAGCCTGGCAACAACTGTTTATGTCAAAATCTGTCACAATCATTTTGTAAATGTCACAACTCAGGCAATACGGAAATAAGTCAGGCAATACGGAAATAAAATATTTCCTTCCGTTCGCACCGCGGTGAGCGGTTGGGTTTCCTGCCGACGATGCCGTTGCTGGCAACAACCCCTCCGGAGGATGGCAGAAGCTCAACCCGTGGCAGGACCTTCTTGAGGATTGGCACACTGGAGAACCGACGTGACATCCCCATCTTGGCCCCGAATCATGGCCCGTTTCTCTACTTTTGATAGATGATCAGCGGAAATAAATTGAATTGAAATTGAATACGGAAATAATGATTTTCCCCGTCAGGCAATACGGAAATAATGATTTTCCCCCTTTTCTCTGCTTTGATTTCGAAAGGAAATCGAGATCTCTTAATTTTTCGTCCTATCTTCGTCACATGACGAGAGGCAGAGGGCGCTCGCACAAAGCAGGAGAGAGAGGGCAGAGAAAGAAGGAAAAGATCGGGGTTTCTTTTCGCTGTGACCGCCGACAAAATTTAATGAGAAAGGACCCAGCGGAGAAAAAGACCGAGGTTTGGAAATGCTTTTCGTTCGCCGAGAAGCAACTGCTTAGCGACTGCTAAAAGCCTGGCGACTCACAGATGCAATAAGTTCAAATCTTTACTGATTAATTAGGCTTAGGAAAGTTCTAGAAGAATGTCACAATTGCTTGACAACTGTCGAAAGCATGGGAGAAACTGTTTTATGTGATCACCCTGTTAAAAATCTTTATCAATTGTCTATGTCACAACTATTTTGTCAATTGTCTAGGAAAATTCCGGAAAAGTTTGTGAGCTTTTAGTCATCGTCTAAATCACAACACAAAAACCATTTTTTGATTCTTTGATCCACAGACTTAGAAATTCTTTCCCTTTCTAGAAGATTCTAGAACAAAAATTTACATATGCCTAATTAAAGCGATGTGAGAAATATATTAGCCTTGCAAAATTTTGGGTTTGAGAATTAAAGTCTCATTGCGAGGGCCTACATCACTTCACCCCTCAATGTTTGTTACTGTTAAAACCACCATATCTTACACTCATAAGAAGCATAGAAATCTGAACGAGCCTCATACCCGCAGAGCAAATGTTTAATATTCTTTAATATCATCCACTTCAGGAAGGGTTAAGAAAACGATTCCGTTCTTTGCAAAGTGAGGCTGCACCTTTGCATCTACACTGTTTAATAAATCCACTAAGTACCCTGTATCTATTAAAATAAATAAGCACTGAATTGGTGCTTATGACGCTCTCCTGCAGGCTTCCTGTATCAGGTGTAATGGTGAATACTGTGATGTACATTTGCGTATAACATTTTTTGAGGGTACTTGCTCAGTTTAATAGGATAAAAATCGAATTACATTTATACGTTTTAAGTATGAATCGCTGGCTACCTTGCTCTGAATTACCGCTAACCCAAGAAAATTTGAAAAAAATTTCACAAACAAGCGTAAATTACATATAATGCACAGCTACAGGCAACCATTTCTACCATTGGAAATTTAGGTCAGAAAGACAAGAGTGCAACAAAGTTCATGTTAGTTATACCCCACAAAGCCCCATTGCGGAGTCGCGGCGTCAACTGTAATAAGATCCAAGCTCGTCCTATTTTCTTGTTTAATGGGCTTAGGCTTACACGTCTAATTTTCCAAGGCCTATATCCTTTTAACATCAGCAAAATTTTTCAATTTGTAGGACAATATTGGGGCAGTGTGGGTAGACATTATGTGACTTCAGTATATACGATTTAGAAGCTGCCTGAGCTTCAAAACCATATATACAACATATCCCTTAATGCATCTCAAAGCTCACATTCGCACAAATCGAGGACCCAAAAATTTACAAGACAACATCCTAATACATTACATGCTCGTTTTGCTTCAAAGATAACATAAAATTTCGAAACATTAGGATCCTATTTGTATCCATAGGCCAGCAGGTTCGACTTGAGGACTTCAGCGGCAACACAAGTTTTACTCTCCTCTCGCACAATACGTATACATTAGAAATGGGGTAATATTCCATCACCAAAAATACAATATTTGCGCTACTGAAAGGCATGGGCAACATTTTTTTGCACTAGGTGCACTACTTGCAAATTGTGGCACCTAAGAATCTGACATATTTTTATAATCTTGCTCTAAATTTCGTCCGACTTTTATCCTTCTCTGTTGTTTTCATAAATTTCTTTTGGTCTTAGCATTTTCACAAAGTGCCTGGACATTTTTCGCTTTCGCACAGTGCTTCTTGAGCTTTTGAGAGCCAACGCACTGTCGATTTTTGCCTTTCCGCTCCGTGCAAACCTCAAACATGCCGGTTGCACTGTGCATATTTTGGGGCAAAACCGCAGCGGCGCAGTTGAGAAAAGCAGCGTTATTTCAATTGTAAAGTGCAAAACCAGAAAAAAAGGTGAGTGAGGGGTGCAAGAACTCGCTCATTTTTGTGCACAGTGCGGACCGCGACTAATTTGCAGGCACTTTGTGAAAATGATAATAATATTATACAGAAGTTAATGATGGAGCAACACTGAGATTTTGTAAAGAGACATTACAAAACAAGCTTTGCTACAGGTATAAACTCAAATCGCATAGAACCTAAAATTTGTTTTTAAGAAAAGTAAGTGTTTTTAAAAGACTTGTGTTTAAAGACTGTTGAAAGTAGCCCGCAGAACCATTAAATTGGTCATAAGAAAAAGATTTCAACTTATTTTGACACGGCTTCACATTACAGTGCGCGAAATATTTTCCTTCAATACATTTTAAGTAGATTAGCCCTGCTAATTAAAGAGTTTCGGAAAATTCCACGTTACATGGAACCTGACGCTTCCATAGCAAAGAATTGAAGTTAGAAGCAGAACGGGAGGCTCATTATTTAGCAAGATATTCACCATTCAGGAGGTGTTGCAATTCCGAGAATTATCCTGCTGCGCTTTCAGAAAATCAGATTTCAGACAATCAGATTATCTCGAAATTTTTCATCGCGTTTTGAGCGAATACCTAAAGGTCCTAGTTATCATTTTTCTGCAGCAGCTGGAAGATTAACTTTTTCGATCAAGAGGGGGAAGGGGAGTCCACATCAACTAAAGTTAGAACAAAGTGTTTCCCATCAATAAATCTCAAACGTGACGAAACGACACAGGAATTATCGAAGTTATTCTCATTTTGTTGGAAAAAAGAAGAGAGCAGCCGATTATTCTTGTGGCGATTCGCAAATTTGAATTTATTGAAGGGAAACGTTTTTCTTGACGAGGAGTCAGACATAACAACAAAGAGATTGCCCATAAAATTTGCTGTACCAAGATGTTTTTTTAAATATTAACTTGCAGTACTATCGAAACAGTATGTTCATTGTTAGAAGAAAAAATTAGCATTGCAATTCACGCATTTTCCTTTATGGAATATGTAAAAAAGATGAAAAAAGTCAGCGGTCGAACTGGCAAGTAACAGCTAAAAATTGCCGTAAGCATAATAAAAAAGTTTTTCATAATCTATAAAAAAACAAAAATACAGAGCATTGAACATTTTGCCAATATCCTTTTATCCTGCTTGTAAGACATTCAAAATTATAAGGACTGTTAATTTGACGCAATTTTTCAAAAGGACGTCAAATTGCCGTCATTTTCGTCATTTTGGCTGAATTGAAAATTCTATATTCGAAGCTTTCAAAGGTGAGTTAGCGCAGACTATGATGAACAATGGTTATAAAATTAATATTAGTTGTAAAGTTCGAATATAGATTTCAGTAAAATCTTCATATTGATTTCGACGGACGTTTTGACAGGAAGGAGCAATTTCTCAAAATTTCTTAATTTTTACGGATTTTTAACAAAAATCTGCAAAAATTTTCCAAAAGAAGTTCAATACGACAATCAAAATGACAAACCTCTTTTAAGACTTAAGAGTAATGAGTCATAAAATAATGCGAAGATTGTACAATTTTGTTTTGCCCTCGAGACTAATAAAACTTCCAAAAGTTTCAGAAAATTTTTTGCAAGGTTGTCTCCTTCTTGACAGAATCTTTATTATCTTTCCTTTTGGCAGGTTATTCTTGAATGTTTGAGTAGGGTTCGGAAAATTCGGGTATATTCACACGCGGCTACACACCGGGTATATACCCGAAATCTCGGGTATATGAGGGTATTTATAAAACTAGCCTAAATTAGTCCAATATATTTAGCACCAATATGAAGTCGTTTGCAACTTATTCATTATCCTAATCATGTTTGGGATGATATTCTTGATTTTTCCACTACAACGAACAAAAAAAGTACTTTTACAATGAAAAAGTTTAACAATCCAGTATTTTGCAGTCAGATTTAGAATTTTTACCCTTTCATCTTCCGATTCAGGTAACTGGCTGCCTAGTTTTTGACCTGAAAACCAAGTTTTGAACGGAAAAAACAGATTATGAAAAAGTATTTTTATGACCAAATTCATTAAGGCATCAACAATTTTTGTACGGTAAGGGGGTCGCACGGCAACCCAGGGAGTCTCCCGTCCCATTTCGACACTTCGCCCACCCAGTATCGGCTGTAGTCAAACGAAATGTCAAAAATGAATTGTTGGTGGGGTTTTCCGACCGAAAAACATTTTTTCCTCGGAATTACTTCATATTTCTGAAGTTCAAAAAGGCCGAAGGCCCCAAGCCTTTCAGTAAAATCAAAGTATTCAGTATAAGACATGGCGTTACCGCAAGCTTAGAGCACTTCGTAAAGGCTCAAAAGGGTTTCAGAAGGAACATAGAAAAAGTCACGGTTCCAGAAATCGAGGCGCCCGAAAAAAAGTACCAGAAATATGAGGGTCCGAAGGGTCTCGCCCCTAAGTTTTGACAGAAAGGTTATCTTCGTATATTTTGAGTTGAAAACTTGTCTTCTTTCACATACGAGGGGCCGAAGGTACCGAGCTCTTTGATAAAAGTTGAAAAGTGGTTCAAAAGGAACATAGAAAAAGTCAAAGTTCCAGAAATAGAAGCGCCCGAAGTTATCAACTAATTTCTGGTTATTGTACAGGGTGTTTCAAGAAATTTGGAACAAACAATTTGCTTATATCTTCGTGTTCTTCGCAGCTATCAACGAATTTCTTTTTGCTTCTAAAAAATTGACGTCGGGCGTTTTTCGAATCTCTAAAAAATTTTTTTTCGTCGGCGGAGGACCCATTTCTCGGCGGAGACAATTAGGGCCTTTTTTAAAAATCACATCGTATTACGTG